ACAAAGTGAGATCTGAGTGATTTGGAGGGGTGTAATGAGTAGATTTCAGATTTCACTCATTGCTAATGCTGCAGTGGGTATTATGTTTAGCAATTAGTTTAAGAAGCGTAATAAAGATTGTCGCAAATGTTTGATTGGTGACTATTTCTCAGTGTTTTTGCACTTTTTACAATTTACAATCAAGGCCTTTCACTGGAAAGCATGATGTTAGATTCAGCAGATTTGACAGCACCAAGTAAATCTACCAAAGCTTTCCATCAGAAGAAACCACTCCGTGAGGCTGAGCCTGTGACACAAGCCCATCATCAACAGACATTCACCAAAGGCAAACCTTGGTCCAGCGCAGAGAATGTCACCTCACTATTCGCCATGCCAGAACCCCCTAGTCAGAGTGGAAGTGGCCTGGCTGAGCATGGACAGGCATTGAAAGCAGGCAGTTCCATTGTGGCTTTGCAGGGTGGTGAAGGAAAGGGTGTGCCTGTCTGGTATGTCTTGTGGTGTCATAAAGACTCAATATGATCTTTCTTCCAGAATTTCTTGATTTTGGTACTCACTAAAACCATTCTTGTTTTCTTATTTTTATGCTCAAAAACAAAGTGGGGGGGGTTGAGGTTGCTACCCGCTCCTTTCAAATATTACTTCAAAAAAATGGTCTCTCAGGTCTGGATCACACCCAGACATTTACAGAGAATGAGAATTAGCTTCCTCTTCCAAAATCTCATTTTCCCTAATTGATTGGATTTTACCAACAGGTGTATGAATGAGACCAACCTCCCTCTACTGTACCATCAAGTCCTTGAGGCTTCAATCAAAGATGATAGGATTGAGACCAACCTGCTGTATTCTATCCTAATGCTTTCCGGTTTGGACAAGCCGGTACTTGGACGCATTTGGGAAATGGCTAATCAAACCATTCCTGGACAGTTGACTCGTCTGGAATTGTACATTGTACTTGGTCTGATTGCTCTTGTACAGGTAAAGCTCATTGACTTATAATGAATTAGTAGAGGAAATGAGCCGTGTATGCTTGGAAGTAAACTGTGTTAATGCCTTACAGTGTAACAAATAACTTTCCAGAGAACTGAGTAAGAATGACGTCAGTTGTTGATGTTGTAGGAAAGCTCAGTCACGTGATCAGTTGTAATAAGTCACATGATTAAGTATAGACTCATTCATTCAACGTGGCATATATGACCACTCTAATCAAGGTCAGTAGAAGTGGAAATTGACAAGAAGAAAGTTCAAGTCATGTAGTTGTCAGTCCATTTGTAAAACAAGATGCCCATCAAATGGTTAGTCTTTTGAAGATTAATCAATTTTTCAACAAGTTTAGTGTCATTACTGTAACAAATATAGAAAGGACAGCAACCTTCCATCGAAGCACTTCATCACTTTAGAGAAGCACCTCTTCCTGTATTGACACCAAAGGGACAGTCAGGACACCAGACCAGCCAACAGTCTCTTTCTCAGCCGTCTAGTCATCCACCAACCTCTAACATGGAAATGGGTAGGATGGAAGATGACTTTGCTCCATTCCAAGAAGCAGTAGGATCCAAACCCAGCAAATCAAGTAAGTTGCACCAGACTTGTATCAGAGTCTAAAAATTGGTTAATCTGGTCATTAAGTTCTTAGGATATTCCTGGTCATGTGGATATAAGTAGTTGCAAATAAGAGTTCAGGGTTTGCCCCAGTTAATATGACTGTAATGCTCTAACTGTAACAGTTGAATCAAGTTTCTTGTGAGATTTGTGTATATGTGATCAAAATAAATGCCTTGAGGTTAAAGGTTATAAAGTCTCAGGTGCCTAGTGATCTGTGGCCCCCCACATCAGCAGTCACTTGACCTTCCTATAATTGTGTTGGCTGGTGTCACATGTGTTGAAGTCTTTCTTGAGACTGGTCATTGGCTGGATAGCTCAGTTAATAAAACAATGACCATGATATGTCAGAGGTTACAGACTTAAATCTTGCCCTAGTTATGGGCCGGCGACCATTTAGACCCGGTTTGAAAGCCTCCCCCCCCGTAAGCTCGCCCTGCTGCAAAAACCCCTTTCATACCGGCCTGGCTACCGGCCTTGGATGCTGGAGGGGTTGTTGGTCTCGAACTTCTCCATCCTGGGGTCTATTGTTTGCAAGTACTGATACATGTAATCTATCCCAGAAGGAACCTGCTTGTGGTTTTTAATCCTTCAGCTCTATACAATTTTTACACTAATCCGCTTAGACCCCTGTTCATCTGTGGAAGCATGGTAGGGGAAGCCTTCCATCAGGGACTTTGAAATGCCGATGTGCAGACAGGCCTGATACTGGCCTGGAGTAGCCTGAATTAGCCTGAATATCGTGCAGGCATTATACAGGGCGGGCTACCAGGGGGCCCTTTTCAAACTGGGTCTAAATGGTCGCCGGCCCTTAATGTTTTTTGTCAATGGCAAATCAGGATTTGTTCTTTACTACTTTTTACAGGTTCCTCAAGCAGCCAGTCAGATCATGATCATTCTCGGAGCAAACCCACCTTTGGCTCTCCTCTCTCCTCTGACAAACTCCAACCTACTGATGAGGATTTCAAGAATGACGAATTCAGCATGGATTCCACTCTGAAGTTCCCCAAGGAAGGTCTGTATTTGGAACCAGTTTTGTGGCAGCTCTTGGGTGCAGTTTGTATTTGTCCCTTTTATGGAATGTCTCTAATGCGATTCATTCCTATCTCATTAGGGGCATTTCTATTGACTAACTTGAGGGGACACCATTAAATGTAGTGCAGCACTCAGGCGCGCACTCTTAAAACTTGAAATGGGCACACATACATGCATTTGGCAAATCTGCAAATCTTATTGGTCAAAGAAGAAGCTGGCCACAAGCGTAATAGCCCCACAGTGATGTCATCTATTTCTGGCCTCCAAGTTAGTCTCTTGACAACATGAAATCTTCCTTTGGGAACATTCCACCAGGAACCATCGAAAAGTTTTAATGATCCCAATTAATTAGAGCTTTGTACAGTAGCTGGCTGTCTTTTTTTGTTGATTTCAAAGTTCATATCAGGTCTGTCCGGTTCCTTTTGGTTGATATTGCTCTAGTTATAAATTTAATTTTTAAAGGAAGCCATTCCTTACTCTTTCAAGTGTGTGTAAAAATATCCAATTAACTCATTCTTGGCATTGAGAAATGTGCTGGGCATTCATAAATGCACATTTAAATTCCCTTTTATTCCCTTTTTTATTTGAAATAATTGTCACAAAGGTACAGTATGACATGCAAGCAAAACAAGTCCGAACATGTCTGTACATGTAGTTCCCTGGCTTTGCGCGAGATTCCAGGAAGCGCCAATCATTGCCAAGCTGTGATAAATTCCTGAAATGCTTGCATATTGTCAATAAATTAGCACTGATCTACTCACATATCACATCCAAGGTTGTTAGTGAAACAAAATATCTTCCTGTTATTCTATCTATTACGTGTGTACTGAGTCAGAAGATGGTTTACTTTATATGCAAATAATTGTGGCAAAAGTACTGTGCACCTTAGTATATGCATAGAAATAGAAGGAAAGCACAAATGTAGATGGGATGTAATTTTGCCCCTTGAAGGTGTAATATTCATTAGATGATAATTCCCAAACCGGTGGATACAATACTGAAGCTGTATGTTAAACCTTTCTATCACAACCTTTTCCTCGCCTATCCCACTGCTGCCACCACTTTGCAGAGGAGAACTGCTATATCTTTGCTGGTTCCCCCGCGGACTCCTCTAGTGGTAGGAGCTCTCCGCTAGTGTGGGACGCCAACTCCATTTATGATAAGCTCACATGTCGCTCGCAGGAGTCCATCTCCTCGGGGTCTTTGTCAGGTTTGTCTCTATCTAAAGAATGTGATGCCAGCTCAAACCCCTTGCTCCCACCCCCTCAACCACCCAGTGCTGGTGTTGGCTTCAATTTCCTAGATTTTTCTAGGCTGCACATTTTATGTAGAGAGTTCTACTTTGATAGAAATTGTCTGTCTAGAGTAGAAAGCTGCAGAAGAGGAAGCAGGCATCATTTATATGCATGGCTTTATGGAGCTGCATGCTTTTTTATTTTGGTTGTCTGGTACAAAAGAAAAAGAGTGGGGATAATTTCTTTCCATTTTGCACAACATTTGTGTGCTGTAGTAGCTGAAAGGGAAGTTGGAAGATAATCTTATCTGAGATGTATTTTGATGGTTTGGTGGTGCACCTGCTTGTTTGAGGTATTTTTAACTTAACTTTGTTTTTCCTTTCTAACAGTTCTTTCCACAAATAAGACTGTGGAATATTTGATGAAAAGAATACCGGTAGCAGTTCTGCCCACATTCATCGTGACTAAAACCAAACTGCCCTTTCTCTACTTGAGGCTCAGTTTATTTTCAAAGAATTAGATATAAAAGAACTTAGCTGTGCTACAAATGATCCATTTGGCGCACTTTTTGTACCATCAGTGTGATTTTCTTTTACATGTGGGTTTCATGTTTAATTATTTTGTGTTTCTGTTTTCCTTCATTTTCGTTCAAATGATTTTTGTCACAATTATGTATCTCACCCATGATTACACTTCCTCCATTACATATTCTTTCTTTTTCTTTTATTTTATATGTGCAAATCATTGTATCAAGCGTGTGATTAATAATCGGTATATTCAGTGTTGCATATTTATATATGTTAATTACTTGTACCTCCCTGTTCAGTGATTGGTTGTTTGAACAGTCTGCTTTGCATGAGAGCAGCTTGTCAAACAGTAGAGGTGGTAATGATGAAGAAGAGCTTTGTATTACTGAGCATTCTTGTATATTCTAACCCTCGTACTTTTGACCCTCTCAAATGAATGGTATCCATTCTGTAGAGATGGAATCAGGTCAGTCACATGTCAATCACAGGTCAGTCCACAAGTCTTGTAAATTACATGTAGTTCACGAATCAGTCAGAACTATGGAGACGAACACTGAGAAAAGAAGGCCTTTGTCTTAGTACATTGCAATCGCTTGTGAATTAGAATAGAACTGAATGATCCATGAGTGACTACACCTCTGTCATTCAGGAACTGCCCCAGAGCTGTCCCACAGTGTTGTATTAAACCATTCCATTGGAATGTCTTGGCGGGTTCGAGGGGAGGTGTGGCTTAATAGTTAGTTAGGGTCCTCAGCTCTCAAACGGTCAGGGGTTCAGATCCAACCATGAGGCCTACATTGTGACCTGTGGCATGTCAGTGTACTCCCACTTCCCTGAGTCCACTCAGAGGTATCAATGGATACTTGTGAGTTCAGAGAGGGTTACTATGCTTGGTGAGCCATTAGCTCTTCCAGTGGCTGCATTCAAGCTCTGTTCTCCCCAAGGAGCTGAGATGTTTTTGTTTTTTTGAAGGAATATTTCTAGAACCAGTAAACAGGTGGAATGATGCACCTTGCCATGAGCACCAGTAATGGTGGATATGTACAAAATTTTAATTAACACCTGGACCACACACATACATGTACACGTGTACTGCTCAGACAATGTCATCAACATTAAGAAGGTTAATGTCAAAATGCTGAAGCAGGAGAAGTCAAGTTCCTTTTTGCCATCATGAATTTCCCCAAATGCAAATGTTCAGCATAATCTTGGACGTTTGGCGTTTTAAAACTCCTGTTTTAGTGAGGAATGAAATTGAGTAAGGTAGGTTAGTTGTGGGACAGAATTGTCATGAAAACTCTTGATTTAGATATTTCATGTTTGAAAGGGATTCCAAGATCATAGTGTTGGTCTTCACTAAGACCCATTCATTTACTCTTGATGTCTTCAAGAGAACTTTGACAATGAACTCGTTAAACTTCCACATTTTCATTTCATTTTTACTCATTGCTCATTTCAGTGCACTCTTTCAGTCATTCAACTACAATTTCATGGTTCCTTTTCCAAAGTGTTTTTTGTGAACTTGGACTATGAAAAGAATTTGTTCAATAGGAGGAACAAGTTTATTACATGGGCGGAGATCTCTTGTCACATGTTTGGGGATGGTTTATGAGAGTTGAACACAGCCTCCATCCCATGTGATATTGTGACTCTGGCAAGTGCAGGGTCAGTGATGCAGGCTAAGGGTGCGCATAGTCAGTCACTTGAAGGGTGGGGGTGATGATTATATTGGTTTCACAACATCCCCCCCAGATCTCCGCCCTTTTTTTTTTTTTTACAGTGGAGTCATCATCACCAGTGTTCTCATAGCAACATATTCATGAAGTGGCATTTTCTCAGTAATAGAAATGGCTTCATGTTCAATTCATTGATAGATGATGTTTTGTTATGTTTGACAGATCGGACACCAGGTGAAGATGAGGAAGATGATTTCCATGACTTTAAGTCAGCTCCTAAGCCAGCTAAGACCCCTAGCTCTACCCCTTTTACCTCCTTCCCATCCATTGCTCCTCCAAAGAGTGACAGTAGCAGCAGGCTGTCTTCTGTCAGCTCTGCTGCTTCCAAACAGAGCAAGTTTGCAACCTCAGGCATGCATTCATTTGATTCTGTCAGTCACCGCAAAGGAGCGGTCTTGTCCAAGGGTGACCAGCACAAGATTGACCTCTTCCACATGGATTTTGAGAAGGTTTTTCCCAAGGTGGGTAGGAAGATGGCTAGCACGGATGATTTTGGCAGCTTCCAGACAGGGCCCAGTGGGATGGGTGGAGCAGTGAAAGCCAAAGAGGATGAGGAGTTTGGAGACTTTACCCACTTCAAGCACTCTGCTTCAGAGTCTGATTTGATGGGAATGCAGCCCACTGAAGTTGACAAGTATGCAGTATTTCGGGAGCTGACTGTCACTGAGCCACAAAGTACAGACACCAAGACAGCCATGACTGGGGATGATTTTGACGATTTCAAGCAAGCAGAGCCTCCAAAGGAAACAGCTCCAATTACCTCCTCTGACTCTCTCACAGACTTCAGAGAAACCTCTCAACCTGCACCGGAATTCACAGCCAACTTTGAGGGTGCATATCCTTCCATGAAACCCACCCCTCCCACCACGGTCTTTGAACCCTCTCCTGCACTTCCTAAGATCAATCTCAGTCCTAGCCTTCCAGAAGAGGATGGGTTTGCTGACTTCAAACAGGCTATGCCACCACCTCTTACATGTAGCTCTGCAAATCAGCGTGGAGATGCCTTTAGTCTGAAGGCTGATTCTGTGAGTACAAGCTCCTCTGAGGATAAGTATAGCGTCTTCAAAGTCCTAGGAGGTGCTGATGATCGGGAACCTCCTGATAATGATTTCGGTGATTTCCAGACCAACCCACCTCCCGTAGTCATGGACTCACTTTCCGTAGGTCAATTTGGCAGTAAACCTGATGATGAAAACAGAGGCAACTTACAGAAACCAGTCTCTGCCAGTGACCTGTATGGCATGGAGTTTGATGCTCTTGGATCAGTCAACAATGGCTCAGTTGCCATGTTGAATCTTGAAGATGCAGGAGACTACGAACCAAGTGATGAGATTGAAGTTACGCCCACTGAACCTCCATTCTCCACCTATCCCAACTCATTCCAGTCCTCACAGAATAGTAAGCTTTCCAAGATAGAGTCTATTGACAGGCTTGATTTGAAGACCCTTGACCTTGATTTGACCTTAGGGAGGTCAGTGGAGATGAATAGCAAAGATAGAGCTGATTCTTTTGGAGATTTCAGCAGTGCTCCAATGGATGTTACCATGCCAGTTGAGAATATTGACCAAGTCATGCAACAAGGTAAGTATCTCCTTTGGTGTGATCTGTCAGTCGTGTAGTTGTGACATTTTGAAGTAAAATGAATTTGATCTGGAACAATCTCTAGGCATATATCCTTTGATCAGATAGCATTTTTTGGAAATAGCAACAAACCTACAGATGCTGAGTTCCTGAACAAATTGTTTTGGAAGCTCTCAAAGATTTGTACTTATTCATGACAAGTCAATGTCAAGTCACAATCTGTTTAAATTAACTGTTGCAAAAACATTCTCTTGTTGATATTTATCCCAGATAACTTGATGTGCAATTAACCTGGACTCACTTTCTCATAGAGTTGCTAAGCAAAAGATATTGCCAAACAGAAATCAGCTGGGAGCCAGTCACAAGAAATATACAATTCATGGCATTTTGCCTGGTAACCCACTTTGTCTAAGCAGATACTTTCTGTGCTTAAAAACTGTCCATGCACAGTTGTATTAAGTTGGGTTCCGATTGTAATCCTAAAGCACTGTTGCTTTGAGCTTGACTTCCCTTTGTTATTGTTCGGAATCCCATAAGGTCCTTTCCCCAGGGCCTTGTTTCCTTGAAAGCCAAGTGAATCATTGATCACTTACCTTGAACATGATGTATTTGTTTGTGAATTTCAGATTCCACTACCTCATCAGGAACTGTTGCTGTCTCCCAGACGTTCTCCTCAATTCCCCTTGTCCCTAGCGGATCCAGTTTGATTGGAGATAGATATGCTGAGGTGGTTGGTAATATTGATGTGAGTTAGACTTTCATTCTCTTGTCTGTGTCACAAGTGTTGCCTCATTTTAATTCTTTACAATGTCTGTGAATTATTTTGCAATAGCAGAGAGTTGAAGTATTGAATTAATTGTAATGGTGATTCTCCCAAGATAAAAACCAATATTTGCAAAGAAAAAGAACTAATGAAAATTTCATGTGCAGGCATTCATGAAATCTAGTTTTGTGTAAAACCATTGCCATACATGTTTCTTAACCTTAACTCCCTAAAGTGTATGTAAAATCATATTGTAATTGGAGAATTGATGACTGTCACAGTTGGTATGAAACAGCTGCAGGTTCTAAAGAATTTGTGTTGAAAGCCTCAGAAACTTGTTACAAGTTTTGATAGCATTTTCACAGTGGATGTTCAGGATGTGGTAATTTCTGAATCAGGAAGTAAAATTGCCTTCATCAAATCAACAGGATGAGAATCGCCATGCCAACGAGTGGCAGCGTTGCTTAGAGAAATGTCACGAAGCAGTTAAGAAAGCCAATAATATTTTCAACAATATCAGCAGTTCATCCGTGTGCAACGAAGTCATCAAATCATCAGAGGGAGCTGAGTATCTCACAGGTGAGAAAGCATGCTTCATGTCTGGATTACCTGTGTAGTTTATTATCTCTGGAGGCAATCCATTCCATATTTAGATGACATGAGTGTTGTTTAGCAGACCTGAACCTTACAGAAATATTTCTTAAAAGGCATAGTGACTTCGTATCGTTTCTTTCTGGTATTGTATTTTAATTGATGAATTTACTTTGCAGCTGTGATTGAAATTTACCGTGTGGCTTGCCGGATATTGACCTCCATGAATGCAATGGGTAAGTCATGAATATGCATTAAACTGAAGGTTTTCTCTGTGAACTATTAGTCACCTTCGCACCCTGTGGTTATTTAATTGTGACAATTCTTTGTGCCAGATTTTTGTTGTTCCTTGAACCTTGGGTTTTAGCTAGTACTTGGGAACAGGGAGCTTTATTTGTAACATTGGGTTACCCAACCTGTCCAAATTGTCAACTGGTTGTCCAAAAGACACTTAGGAAACTCTCTAGCAAAATTTAGCAACCACCTTCCCCACCCCCTGACCCTCAAGCACCCTGAATTCTAGATCAGTCCCTGAATGATCTCATTGCTTTACTCTGTGAACGTGTCTCCTTGTCTCCCTGTCTCGTTACTGTGTACTACAGGTGTGGATACCCCTGAGCTTCAAAGGCTTCAGAAGGACATTGAGTTGGTGTGGACCAACTTATCAGCATTCCTAGCATCCAGTACGCTCATGGTAGGTGCAGTATAGTTGGTTGTTCTCCTATGAACTTTGTGCAAATACTGCTTGACCACAGCTTTAATTTCTCTGTACTGACCGCTGTACTGTTTCAGCCTGCACCAGGTTCATTTGTCTTCAAGATGGCCATTTTGCGACCTGAACCCACCAACACTGACCGAGCTTGTGGGGTGTGTCTCCTTAACGTCGACTCTCGCAGCAAGGCATTTGACCGTTCCAAAGACAGCCACAAGCTTGCCTATGGGGGTAGGCGGTACCATGCTACATGTGCCAACCTTTGGGTCAACATGGTAGATTCCATTCTACCAGCTCTCCCACTTAACAGATTGCTGTGAGGATTCAACCATTCTGCAACAAAAGGGAGGTTTGTCAAGGTAATTAATTTTGTTACTTGCCAATATTACCAAATGTGATATGAAATTTAAGGATTTTCTCAACGCAGTTCCTGCAGTGTTCATGTTTCAACCTTCAGTTTACTTGTAACTCGCTTCTGCCATCAAATTGGGTTGGTCTACAAATTAAAAATCATATTAGAATTAAAAATCAGTTCCTTTTGAGTGGCTCAGGTTTTGCGTCAACTATTTTTCATTTGAGTTTTGTCAGTCATAAAGAAGCACATTGGTCTCTTGAAGTCGTTATACACATGTGTTTCTCTTATATGATTTACTCATACTTTTACCTTTTCATAAAATGCACCTGTTGTGTTGAACTTTTTGGAAAAATGCGTACTTGGGAAATTTTCATGAGTCGAATGCTTCAGATTTTTGGTTAAAAAAGTCCTTCTTGCTCCTATTTAAAGGAAGCTTTTATTTTCACAAGGGGGCTTTGATTTTATTGTATAGAATAATACAACCTAGAAATCAACACATGAATCAGTTAATTAATTCACTGTTAGCTGTTGTCCCTCCTTCGCTTAACAAATCTTAAGATTTTCTGAAGATTTTTAGATAAGAGGGTTGTTCACAGGTCACTATTGCAGGCACAAAGTTCATTTTATTATATTGATATAATGTTGGATGAAAGTTCACACAATACCACTCCAAAATCAATATTGCCAGTAATCACATTATGTAATAAGATATTTAACAGTACCCTATGGCATGCAGTTTTTATGTACCAGAGGCTGTGTAATAATTTATTACTGCTATTATTTAGGGCACGCATTTTAATTTTCGATGAAAACAAATGTGAAATCATTGTGAAGATGAGGGTTGGTTTGGGTTTAAAGCAGACCTGATGACCAGATGAATTTCTTATCAGTTTTTGGTTAAGAAAGTGTCTGGTGTTGATTTTCATTTTGATCTTCAACCCCTGTTGAGCCTCAACCAAAGTTATTCTCTGTTAGTATTATGTAATCACTTAGTTAATTCTCCCATAATATCAGACCAAAGGTATATACCAAGTTAGAAATTTACATATACGTGTAGTGTGATTTGGCTACCAAAACTAGAAGCCATAACTCTCATGGACAGGTGATGTGTTTGACCAGTAGTATGTCATGACTTGCCACGCGCTTTGGGCTTTGTGTGAGTGCAGTGCCACAGCAGTAATGACATCTCCTTGGATTAGTCAATATATAACTAGACCTCAGACAGCGAGTTGTAAGGTTTAATTCTTTCCACTTTTTTTGTAATAGCTTGAATTGAAATGAGCAATGGAGCTCTTTGTTTTGATGTAAGATTCTTTGGATGGCTTCTTTGTCAGCTTGTGACACTTGTTGTTAGGTTTGTCTCATAAAATGAGATTTGCTTCACTCGGCACAGTCTGCAATATATAGGGAGGTAAATAAAAAAAGGAGGATGCGTAAGAGCCCTGTCCACTAAGGATGGCCCCCTGTAATGGCAGAATTACTCCAAGGATGGCCCCCTGTAATGGCAGAATTACTCCAAGTATTCTATTAAATTACATGTATTAGCACTTGAGTTTGTTTTATTCTTCTAAATAATAACTATAATAACTATTTGTACCATAGATCAAGGACCCTTTCTCTATGTTGGCCAGTGATTATGTGCCAAGATATGTCTCAGTTGAGGGATCTATATAAGTATAAACTATTCAAAACTTTGTAACCAATCACTTATTGTAACAGTGTCTGTAAGTTGTCATTGAGTATTGTTCCTGGTATTGTATGGTGTTTTCCATGTACTTGTATGTCTTTTGATGTGAGTGGCTTTGCTGATCTGCTGTCCTGACTTACAGTGAAATAATTGTGCTTAATACACGTAAAAAGCTGCTTTTTTCCGGCAGAGATTTTGATGAGGTAAAGAGGTAGACAAGAGGCCTCTGTACTGATGAAGTCACACTTTACTTGACATACATACTTTCCTCTGGAGCCAATGGGGGCACACAGTCCACTGAATACCATAGGAAAGTATATACACAAAATATTGTGTCATCAGTACGGAGGCCTACTATGGCCATCTATTTGGTACTATATGTTTTCTGTGCAATAGTAGATGCGATGTGTATATAATGGTATGCTTCACCAGATGGAGACAGTACTCACTATGTTGTACATTGTATTATAGCTGAGATTGTGTAAACATCTATGCCAAATTGTGACAGAATAAAAAGTAATAGTTGACCATTATTGGAAACAACACAATGTCTTTGTAGCTGGACATTTGGTCGTGATGAATTTGATTGTTTTTTGCTAACACAGGCCCCTCTCCCAGATATTCCAGCCCCCTCCAAAAAAAAAAAAGTGAAAAAGGGTGTCTTGGCGTGGGTTTAGCCCTGGTTCTAGGGGTAGTTTGGGTTGTTAATACAAAGTATAAAAATCCTCTACATTCGTTTTCCCTTTGGCTCGCCTGTCCCGAAAAAAGAATGACCGCCAATAAATTTTGGTCGTGGTCCACACCAAGCAGCTTCACGGCAGACGACAACCTATTTGCTATGCTGATTATGTGATACGGAACTGATTGATAGATCAACAGAGGGCGCTCTGAATGTAAACTTTACTGGTGGATATGAGGTCTGGGCGCGTATACATGTAGACTGTATTAGACGGCTTTAATTCCGCTTTCAAAATGCCGCTTAATTACTGTGACGGTTCTCGTCTTTGCGCCCAATGTAGAGTTGAAGATTTAGAGGAGGTTATCTACTTAAAGTATGGAGTGAGTATAAAACCGTTTGGATTTCAAACCCTCGCTGGTACATGTATTCTGAGTAACAATTCCTGCCATTGACTGACCATTGCCACAGCACAGTCCGAGTCTCACCTGCCAGTGATACTAAGTCACAACTCCGTCTAACCCCACTAGTGTGGCACGGACTCTCACTCCCGATCCATCTTTAATCCTTAAGGATGGATCGGGAGTCGAGTGAGAGTCTGTGCCACACTAGTGGGGCTACACTCCTCCCCTCCTTCCTCCATGGTCATACTCTGTGTGATCATGGAGGTAGGAAAAGACCTCCACGGTGTGACTTAGAGAAGATAATGGCGTCGTAATGCTATTGGTGCACTGAATTAATTGAAGCCCCATTGAAGACAATGTGAAATTGACCACGTTTGCAGCCCCGGTGCAGGCAGCCGAAGTCCCTCTGGCCTCTCAGATAAAAACAAAGTGTTCTGGGGTCATTCAGCTCTCGATTGATTTACAATTTTTAGTAGATTAACCAATGAAATTTTTAATTATCCGCCCAAAACAAACTCACCTCCCAAAAAGTGAGTGTTCCCAAGTCTGTCAGCGGCCATTTTTCAAATGACATCCCTCCACCTTTTCAGGCTCTTGGGACAATTTTTCAGTGGCATTTTTCAATGCTTTGCCCTGGGATGGGAGTCCTTGAATCTAGGGAGTTCATTCTGGGCCAGTCTTTCACAATCCCACAAATTCTTGGGCCACACAATCTCTTCTTTTTCACATAAACTGTAGGGATACTTTTTGAGCACCTCGGCCTGCCGAAGAATTTCCCTTGAATTGGGCATTGCACCCCTATGGGGTTTTGGAATCAAATTTTTGTGGTGAAATGGTTCACAGATGAAAGAAAGCTATGAAATCAAATTTTCCCCTGTCAGCAAACCTGCTTAATTGTACCTCCTAAAGAGCGGGATAACAAAGTTTCAGAGCATGAGATGGAGTATTTTTGAAAAAAATGAGATTTTGCTTATCAATGTCTTGCTTCTGCCCATTGACTGTTGCTCCGTTCATGCCGTTTGTGTTTACCAGACTGCACATTCATCAAACCCACCAATGACCAAGCTTGTTCCACATCTTGGCTCGACCATTTTCATGGCGGGGATAACATCTTGTATTATTTTCATTGTGGGACCATCCTGGCTGCTGCCATGACCTGCAAACACACATCGGGCGAGGCACGCAACATGTGCTGCGCCATGTATGATGTTATCCCCCGCCATCGAAAATGGTTGAGCCAAGATGCAAAGCAAGCACCATAATTGGTGGGCTTGACACATGAACAGTCTGATAAACATGAATGGCATGAACAGAGCGACAGTCAACGGGTGGAAGCGAGAAATTGGTGAGTAAAAATCTCATTTTTTTTTCAAAAATACTCAGTCTCATGCTATGAAACTTTGTTATCCCGGGTTTTAGGAGGTATAGATTAAGCAGGTTTGTTGACAGGGGAAAATTTGATTTAATTGCTTTCTGACATCTGTGAACCATTTCACCATAAATATTCAATTCCAAAACCCCATAGCATTACAATGTTATGTAAACCTTGTCTTCTCAAGTCACATGGAGTATGACGGAGTAGTGACTTAGAGTTCTTGAAATATGTCAGGTGAGGCTGTGCTGTGGGAATGGTCAATAGACAGAGAGCTGAGTTCAAGTACCTGTTGTAAATAGGCTTGTGGAGAGTTACCAGTTGGCAGACCTGTGTTGGAAAACTGTAGGAGCCTAGGTCCTACACAAGAAAAGTATGGGGAAGAGTTCTATATGTGGACATCGCTAACATCCAGTGCAGCAAACCATGAGACTGGTTTGAAAAATTCTAGGGCCTAGGCTTAAGTGTTTGCTAAGTAAATAAATGCATTAATATTCTGGTAAATTCGACTTTTAGGACATCACTTTTTGATGGCTAGTAAACCACTGCTAGAGAAAATGAGTGATATCTACACTCCTATCAAAGTACACTTATGTCTTATTTTTATTAAATCATCAGAAATGACCATAAGACATATACCCAGCAAGATATGGGATGGAGGGGTATCCCCCTACATGTCCAATTCCTATATACTCCCTAGAGTATTGTTACCTGACACATCCTCCTAGATGTCTGTATAAAAGAATTCCTGAAATTCTGATCAAACAATGACCTACACAGAGGTGTGAGGGCTGCTCTTCATCCATACATGTATCTTGCTTCACACATGTACATGTGTTAGGACATCAGTAATGCATGTCAGGTAGGCCTATAAAAAACTACAATGGCTGCACCATGTTGGCACAGCAAATAAAAAACTACATTGTGATTAGTGTAAGTAACTTGGACTCTATGATAAAAGACACTTCATTTAGTCGAAATTGCTAGGACTAAAATGAAGTCTGGTACAAATCTGACAGTAATTGCATTCTTTTCAATTCCAATGGCATATTACTTCTGCAGACTAGTTACTAATTTACACTGTCTGATTACAATCAGTAGGATTCCAGTAAGTTGCTTAGAAGTCAGCCAGTGCGTAGCTGTCTCCCACCAAGCTTGCTTTATGTTGACCAGAGAGAATTGGCTGTGACCACGGTGCATGATGGTGAGGCTAGATGAATATTCAAAAGTCAAAATGCTTTGTCCTTTTTTGGTAAACTTAATTCCAAATGAGATGCATTTTTTTAGCCAAGAAACGTAATGGATAAAAATGTTCAGTTTTTTCCCGTAGGCAAATGTTACAGTAATCATTCTATTCATGTGTTACAAAAGATTCATCTAAGAAACTGCCCCACATGTGATCTCTTTGGTTGCATTCATTTTCATGTGTTTGCATATTGTTTTTTTGTTTTTTTTCCAGATGTGATAAACACACTTGGTTCTGATGATGCAACAACGTGTCATATAGCTGTCTTGAGACACTCAGGTACACTGAATCAGTGTTGTCTTGAAAAGATTTCTGAAGTGTCTTTGGTTAGAGCATTTGTCACACTTTTTTACTTATCAATTTTACTTATTTTACTTACCGGAATAAGAGTGCATCACTAAGTGAGCAATGCTGTTTAGAAAAGTTTATCATTAAAAATTTTATTTCAGAAATGGAAACACAGTGTTGTGTGAGATGACAAGATTTTCAACTGATAAGAATGTTTCTCAGCTGTGTGTCATTGAGGTGGTTAAAACCACTTTGGAAACAACTTATGACTGGATTATGAACTTAGATGTGGATTTAATTGACAGGAAGTGGTGCTACAGGGCTGTGTCACTTTGACAGTTGTGGAACAACGCAAGGAGTTCAAGATCTGGTGGATAAAGTGAGGGAACTCAGTCAAGACATTGATGGACGGTAAGGGAAAGCCTGGTGGTGGAGTCTAACTTGTGATCTGAGTCTAAATCACAAATACCCTGTATTGAGTCTTGACTCTCTGATGTATGGTGAGGGAAAGCCTAGTGTTGGAGTCTAACCTTTGATCTGAGTCACAAATACCCTGTATTGAGTCTTGACTCTCTGATGTATGGTGAGGGAAAGCCTAGTGTTGGAGTCTAACCTTTGATCTGAGTCTAAATCACAAATACCCTGTATTGAGTCTTGATGAGGGAAAGCCTGGTGTTGGAGTCTAACCTTTGATCTGAGTCTAAATCACAAATACCCTGTATTGAGTCTTGATGAGGGAAAGCCTGGTGTTGGAGTCTAACCTTTGATCTGAGTTTAAATCACAAATACCCTGTATTGAGTCTTGATGAGGGAAAGCCTGGTGTTGGAGTCTAACCTTTGATCTGAGTCTGAATCACAAATACCCTGTATCGAGCCTTGACTCTCTGATGGACAGTGTGGGTCAGCCTGGTTGTCAAGTCTAACCTTTTATCTGAGTTCAAGTCTTAAGTGAGTTTTGGTTTCAGGGTTAAGTACAAGTTTTTAAGTTGTTAGATTTTGAGATGAATCTGTCAAAATATTATTTAAGCAGGTAACTTCCATTTCCACAGGATGGAATTTTTAATTGAAACTACACCCTCCATTGAAAGCTCAAAAGTTGATTATGAGTCCCATTTTATGTTTCAGCCTGGAGCTTCACATTGTTGGTGGCTTTAAGGATGATGATGGATCATCAGAAAAACTATCAAGAAAATTACTGAGTGAGTGTATTAAAGATACTAGCCTCAAGCCAGTAGCCATCCCAACATTCTATGTATCCCTGATTATTTTATGAGTGATATGTTGTGAAAAGGTTTACCTCAAAGAAACAGAAGCTAACAGAAAGGCAATATCTTAATGCGTTAACTTTTTAATGTACAAAAGTCATATGCTGATTGTCTGCATCTTGTTGCTGCCAATCGCTGATTGTAGCTACTGTTGGATAGGCTTGCTGCGTAATTCTATTTGTTTGACCATACTTCCTAGCTCTTTGCTTGACATTCCAATATAGTCTTTGTTTTCTTATTGATTAGCTGCTCCAGCCTGAGTTAAACATTACATAACTGATGTGATTTTATTCAATCACACTGAAATTCTTTGCTTTCTTTAAAATCTCTTTGAATTCTTTCCACATTTTCCCCTTTTTAGGTGAATTTCATAAACTCTCTGTGGATGTGTTTTTGCTGACAGCATGCATCTCTGGTAATGTACCATGATTCATGGACAATGTATACATGCTTTTCTGGGAAGTGGTTTTGGGCTGTGAAAAGAGCTAGATAGTTGATTTCCAAGAGTTGATCAACTTGTATGACTTACTAGTGCGTTCCATTTTCCTCATTTCAGATTTGAACAATGTTACAAAAAGTGGAGAGAATTACCCAGCTATTTGTGGCCTAGGTGAGTGTTCAACCACACACTTTTTTTGGTGAAATATGGAAAGGCTACGTAGCACCGTGATCAGAATATTGACAAGAATATAATATGAAATTCAGAATATTGACATTGATGGTTGCTTGTCTGTGTTCTTGTCAGTCACTTCATACAACAGAATAAGGACATTTCTAAGCAGAAGTGGGTATTTGGTCACATTTTTACCAACATAATGGGTAATTTTAAGTATGAAAAACTGAAGAAAAAAATTAGTACCATTTCCTTGAATTCCACTGTCATTTCTTGTGAAACTTCTTTATTCTGAGAATTAGCATTAAAAATGAGGCTGTTAACTGGGTGACAAAGTGTCCATTTTCACATGGAATTGCCCATAATGAAACAAGTACCAAATTGGCAGACTGGTCTTCTCTACTTGTGCCCCAGGTTTGAATCCCACCTACGCCAAATGAACATTTTTCATTGTCTTTTCTTCATAGGTTTCTTCAGCCTTGCATGCTTTTAATGCCAAATAGGGGTGCCCTGTGAGAAATCTTCAGAACAGAATAATAAATGTATGTCCTCATTGACTGACAAATTTGTCATAATTGTCCACTCTTTTCTTTTCCCTTGACAGGTGTGTCTGTCAAGACAGGGGAAATTTTCCCAGCATCATTTGCCTACAAAGGGCCAGACAAGCCTGTCCGAAGTCTCAGGCATTTTATAGGTGACAAAGACGTGAGTTCCAAACCTAGTATCTTTCATAAGAAACTTAGTTTTCAGTTTACCCTGATCAGTGAGTAGTTTTTTTATTTTCCAGATTGTTGATGATACAGCAAAACCTTTTTAACCATATGCTGTGGGTCTAAATTGAAGTTGCGTGACGAGTTCTCGATGGATTTTCAAGATTTTTTTGTTTTCAAAATTCTTCAAAAATTCATAACTTCACTTACTGGACGTTTACACCCACACGAATGGCTGGTGGCTACTCTAATCTGACAGGCAACATCTATTGAGGCCCAAGTATTTCAGCCGGGCCTGCCGCCTTATAAAGAGAGCCCAGATTGTACAGTGTTGCGTAATTTCCTTTGTTCCTGAAACTGGCCCAGTGCACTGCTGGCGTCTTTTCAAATGCGGCCAGATTAGCATGCAGCGGTATTGTATTGCTCATCGCTTGGGCGCTGGAGCATGTTTGTCCCCGGTGGTAATCCGCTCGCACTGAATGCGACAAATAATGGTATACTGTTTCAAAACAATGACAGATTTCCTCCGCTATTGACAACTGAAAAAATGTTGGCAATTCCCAGCAGCTCAGTCTTTTGTT